TAAGCCAATGTACACAGAGTTATCCATTGAGGAGGACAACTTATTTACCATTCGAATATTTTGAAATTGGAATGGGAAATAAGTTTCAAGAGACTACAAATATTTTGAAATTCGAATCACTATAAGATAATCATATGACTGATTTAGTCCAAAAGTTTAAGACTAAACTTAGAAATATGGAAAGTTGATTGATTTAGCTAATACTCACGTTTAAGGATTCCTCGACTCTGATTTTGAATCTCGTTGCTCTAATTGAAGTTGAGACTCTTGGCAAACTATAAATTACTCTATCACGTAGATATGAATTTTATTAGAAGAATTTTCCAAATTTTATTTTTTGGAGGGCATGTTCACGCGGTTTAATTATTTTGTATGCTCATAATTTATGGTTAGAGTTTCAAGATTAGATATCAATTAACTAAGTGCACCTAGAACCCCAACTAACTTTGAGGGGTGAATTACACAATTTGAGTAGGAGGGATGAGGTTCAATTAAACTAATAGGGTTAGATTACCCAATGATGAATTAGCTATCTCTACGGCTTAGATAGAACACATAACCATAGTACTCTTCCACGAACCCCCGGAGAAGAACCCCTAAGGAGTGACTTACTCTGTAATAATAGTGAAGAAGGCTTAGACTTATAGCCTTGATTGCTATATCTCTGTAATAATAGTGAAGAAGGCTTAGACACACTACTTCCCACTTGGATGTTCACATCTATGGACGTGAATTGGCTTACTTTATTGTCCAACTAAAACACACAGTACTTTATGGTCAACCTAAAATACACCGTTTTTTATGGTCAACCTAAAACACACAATACTTCCCTCCTACATGTGCACATTAGTGTAGTGATATCATAGTACCCTTCGACAGTACTGAAATATGTTTATGTTCAATTTATCATAATTTTACTTATATCTGCCATCTTAATAAATTTCTACTTAAATATTCGCTAGCAAGTTTTACATGTGAATCTAGCAAGATTTACCTCTCTAATAGTCTCAATATAATAGAGAGCAATCTTCTTCCTTCTTATCTACTAAAATACTATGTAGACCCTCTAACAGATCCCCTAATGGCACTACATAACATATATATCTAGGATAAAAAGACAAGAGTCAACTCCAGTACATCTTCTAGTACCTATACTACAACACAAAATTTGTCAAATTTATCAACTTCACCATCACCAAACAGCTCTTTTCTTGAAGAATCTTCGGTTGAGACACCACCAAGGAAGTATAAATCTTTAGTTGTCATATATGCATCATGTCAATGTGCTCTTACTCTTTTAAAATTTACAAGTGATGAGGAAGCAATTGAAAATAGAATTCATACTGCAAAACACTAGCCTCTTGTTCTAGACTATTATTGAAAAATTTGATGATTTTGAAACATATGATAAGTAAAGATACAAAAGAAAAAACAATCACCGTCGAACCATTTTTGGGATATTGTTCATCATGTTACAAAACTTCAATATGATTTTAAGTACTTCGAGAGACCTTTTGAAGCGTATCAAATACTCTTTGACTTTGTTTAAGAGAATAAATTATTTTCAAAAAACAAAAGTTAAAATAATCTTAACATGTTACAATTTAGAAAATTTGTGTATAAGACAAAAATAATGATTCTATAAACCCTCATCAAAACTAATATATTTCTAGGAAAACAAATTTAGTATTAATACTTATTTCCAATATTTATTTAATTAATTTAAATTTAGTTTAGCAAAATTAAATTATGATGAAGAAAATTAGCTGGTTTGTCGGAGAGATTATGGGGAAGACTTAGGATCTTCTCTACATAAGTGTGCATGGGTTCAAACCCCATAGCCAGCATTAGAACAAAACAAGTTGTAAAGACGTGTGTTGGTATGTGGAGACTGATAAAAAGCAAAGGAAAAGTCAACGGCGCACAATTAGTGTAGTGGTATCATAGTACCCTTCCATGATACTAACTTTGGTTCGGATTCCTTAGATGTGCATTTTTCAAACCTACTTGTAGGTCAATCGCCTTAAGTGCACTAAGAAGAGCCCAGATGGGTGACTATGGGTGACTTTACCCTCTACTATAATAGTAGTGAAGAGGCTTGGACTTTTATCGGCATAGAATTTGCTAACTTTATCGTTGAACTAAAACTTGGATGTGTACATCTAGTGTAGTGGTATTATATTACCGAGGTTTGATTCCTCAAATGTGCATTTTTAAAGCCTAGTCTTGTGGGCCTGATAGGGTTAGATTATCCATGCCAAACTTACTTTATGGCCCCTGCTTGGTACCCCCACGATATTGACTAGTGGTTTGATTTCCCACGTGTGCATTTTTAAAGCCTACTTATAGGTCAATCGAGTTATGGGCATAGGGCTAGATCAACCAAACCAACGAAAATGGCTAACGTGTGCATATTTTGTTGTTATGAATGTATAAAAAAGGAAATCATATTTAATTTTAGATATACTTTAAGATTGTTTTAGATATACTTTAAGATTATCTTTTCAACCGAGCTCAATCTAAACTTCTACTCACAAATTTAAGTAACCTTAATTGCATCAAACTATTAATGTATAATTTATTACTGCTTTAAGATTACCTATTCAACCAAGCTCAATCTAAACTTCTACTCACAAATTTAAGTAACTTTAGTTGTATCAAACTATTAATGTGTAATTTATTACTAAAACTAAAAAATATACCTACAAAATGTTTGTTCTACTAGTAATACATCAATATTAATTGGGTTCGACTAAAACAATGCAACCTTTATCCAAACCAATGAATTTGATACAAAGCTATCTCCTAATGGAGGAATGCGCAATTATTCTTTGTTGTAAGATTCGGCTATATCAATTTGAACAGCGTTCAGCCACAGCTATAAATATTGAATACCACTTATTCATGAACAAAGTAAGTTTGATGAAACTATGTATCAAAGGTGTTCCCAAATGAGGTGTGGAGAAGTGTTTCCTTCAAATATAGTTCCAATTAAGAATGTCAATGAAGAAGAATTGCAAAAGGTTGGAAGGTTTGCTGTGGAAGTGTATAACAAGAATGGTGAACGTCTCATTTACTTGCGTGTGGTGAATGGTCTGTCTTATACGATTAATGGAGGTAGAATAAGAATTTTTATTATTGTGATAGAAGCTATAAATGAAGATGGTATTCCTTGGTCATATATTGCAAAGGTGGAGTACTATGTGTTTAATCCTATAATGTCCCAACTATCATTATTTAGAGATGTCCTCAAGGAGTTCAATAAGCATTAGACTGCTCTCCCTGCTTACACTAAGCCCTCTCTCTCTCTTTATGGAGGTGTTAGTGTCTCTTAACTATTAAAATAGCATAGATCACAATAAAATAATCACATAATTTTATATATACACTTACCTTTTCATTTGGTCAAACTCAATTATGCATATTAAGGTGTAAGTGTCATACACTTACCTTACCTCAAAATAATCACATAGTTCTCTATGTATGGAGGGTGCATATTAAGGTGTAAGTGTCATACACTTACCTTACCTCAAAATAATCACATAGTTCTCTATGTATGGAGGGTGCATATTAAGATGTAAGTGTCATACACTTACCTTACCTCAAAATAATCACATAGTTCTCTATGTATGGAGGTGTTAGTGTCATACACTTACCTTGTAGCTAAGTGAATAGATCTACAACCGCGACCAACCTGCAAGCCAAGATCCACTACACAAAATAACCGAAATCTGCAACCTGCAAGCCAGCCCAAATCTGCAACCTGTAACCAACACGCCTGTAGCAAGCAACCCGTAATCAGCGCCTCATTGTGCCACATGTGGTGCTTGTAGCAAGAAACTCCCGTTTACGCGACTCAGTTAGCTCGCTTGGCTTTTACTTGGCTCTGCAACTAAGAAATCAGTCCCTCAGCTCGATAGAGGAAATTTTGCTCAATTTTCATCGTTCCGACCATTTTCAAGATAAAATTGATCTTGTTTAAGAAAATTAAGGTATGAGGTTCAATTTCACGATTCAAGTTAAATTGAGTTAAGGAATTTTAGTTACTAACGAAACAAGATAACATTATAATAGAAAATGACAACCGACAATACTTGGAGAAATTTCAAGGGACGAAAAGCAAACGTACTTGAATATTAGGGAAATGTCTGTTAAGGCCAACCAAGTAGGTGACACTTCTATTGATTTGGTTATAAATTGTATGTTTTATGATGACATGAGGTCGTGGCTTCGCGTGTGTCGTATACTCATATATTTGGATGATAATGAAATGATGTGTACGATATGATATGTGAATGTTATGTTATACGTGATCAAATGATATGTTTACAATATGATGTGTTAAGATATTATATGCTTGACGACATGCTCGTGATGTGATTCTTGAATGTTATGATATATGATGTGATATAATATGTACATAATATGATATGATATGTTAGAAGACATGATAGTTTATGATATGTTTGAAGACATGATAATGCATAACTTCGATAAATGCATGAGAAATTATGATAAAATGATATAATATAAAGAAAAATGTTAGAGGAGTTGTTATACATGTAATGAAAGCCACAGATATAATATAAAGCCATGGATACCCCTTCTTCTTTTATGATGGTACAGACGCGTACACTACGAGGCAAGGAAACAATCATTATATTTATTATAATGCTACAATGGTTGCTATTCCTAATGGGTGTCCGACATTAACAACTCCTAAGGATTGCTCACCCGACAAGAAAGAGGCCCAAGAGGCGTGCGAACCGACTGGTGGGTCCATACTCACATGTGTTGACCGTGTGTAGAACAGTAAATAAAGAGGCGTGCGAACCGACTGGTGGGTCCATACTCACATGTGTTGACCGTGTGTAGAACAGTAAATACACACCCGTGCGAACCGACTGGTGGGTCCATACTCACATGTGTTGACCGTGTGTAGAACAGTAAATACACACCCAGTTAAATTGCTTAGGATAGCCGTGATAAATTTAATGAAGATAAGTTTGCAGAAGGAAGAAAACTTAGTAATTTATTAGGTGAAGAATGACTATATTTATCGCCAGTACAATGTTTAACCAAAGATAAAAATAAAATTCTGACGAAAACTAGAATATCATACCAAAACAAAGAATCTGACATAAGATCATATCTATGATCTGCATATCAGTAATCTAATATTAAGAAACTAAAACATAAAAATAGCAACTAAATCTTTTTCAACATTCCTTCCTAGACTGATGATGCACTCTTTAGATCAAACTTCAGGATCTTGATAGACACCAAGCAACATGTGTAGCATCTCAAACACAACTCGAGCCAAAGGTTTTGTCATGATATCAAACTCTTGCTCTTTAGTATGACAATGTTGTAACATCACAGTTCCACCTTTACTAAATCACGGAGGAAATGGAAATGATCATCAATGTGTTTGCTTCGATCGTGGAAGACTAAATTTCCAGTCAGCTTAATAGTGGAACTATTATCACAGTACACCATCGTAGCTCCAATTGGGATATGATAGAGCTTTTCCAGCATCCTTCTTAACCATATGGTTTGGCAAGCACAAGCTGCAGCAACAATGATTTCAACTTCAGTAGTGAAGAGTGTGACTACGAGTTGCTTCTATGAGGACCATGAAACAGCTCTTGAACTTAGCATAAATGAATAACCTGACACACACTCATCTCGGATCTTTTCTCTATTGACATGCTCTAGTCGAGCATCTGATACAACTTAAAAGCAAAATTCACTACTAGTGATTCATCTCCATCGCACCCGAGTGACTCGCACATCATCTCTGTTAGTTCCATTTTCACCATGTTGAATTTGAACCCAACATCGTGTTCTTTTGCCAGCTGACTCTGTGACTCGCTAACCTTTTTTAACCTCTCATCTCCACCATTGTCTGCCACAACCGCCGTCAATTTCATGACAACCTTCTCTTCCTAATGACCTAAGAGAAGGGGGATTAGATTCATATGCTGACCTCCCTTCCTGATATTAAAATCCACACCGTGTAGTTTTCGATCATCTTCCTTTATAGCCTCAAGAATTGCGAGACTCGTAGCCATGAAAGCAAGCTTAAAGCAACTAGAAACATCGTAAAGCGACTGAGTCGCTGCCGAATGTTCATTGCCGAAAATCTACACCATAGGTGGCAAAAATTCCGTTAGATTTATCCACAATTTTAGAGCGAAAACCATGTACTATGCTAATCTCTACATAGAACTACCTCTCGCATTCGAAATCTTAACAACCGGCGCAAGAATCTCACCACAACCTCCAATTTCCCCTTAGAAATGGTCGTCGCAACCTCGATTACAGACTATTTTCAAGAATTGGAAGACGGAGAAGCCACATAGGATGACATAACGAAGAACAAGAAGATGAAGCAGAGGCTTTTGATTCGGCGGCGCCGTCAAACTAATTAGCTTATACATTGTCTCACACCAAGCACTAGTCGAACTCGTAATCACAGACGCAGCATCACTTCCATTATCGTCGTCGTTATCTTCAAGAAGCTATTTCTCCAACTCCTGAGGGAGATGATTCATCATCTTCTTCTTCGAGTCCAGATTCTACAAATCCGAAGGTCCACCGCCAGTAAAACCTAACTACATCTCTGCTAATCCTGTCTGATGTACTTTTTTTATCCTCCAAATCTCCCTTGATCACATAAGCAGAAGGTTGTGCCACATAAACCTCCTCATCCGAGTGGTTTTCTCTTTCTGCCACTTCGTTTTGCTGTGGTCTGCAGGTTTTAGTGAATTGTCGATGTATTCCATGATTTGAGCACAACTCAATAAACTCAGTAGATGTGAACTCTCGACCTCTATCAATTCTCAAACCTAAAATATTTGTCCCAGTTTCTTTGTCCACATTTCTTTTGAAAAGTTGGAACATTCTGAAGGCTTCTATTTTAAACAAACAATCTGTTGAGTCCTCTTTTTGTTCTATCATCTCTTCAACATATGACAACATATGACAGGAGAAGCAATGGTCATAAAAATTAAAACACTCAACATGAGTTTTGTTAAAAACCCGGTCTCCCATGTCCTCGTCCTCTACCTCAAATTGTGCCACCTCCATGATTTGTTCTCCCTGTATTGCTGTCAACAGTGATCTTCAATGTCTGCTCTTCCACATTATGTCTTTGCAATTCATTAATTTGTCATGATGTCTAAATCGTTGGATTCTCTATTGCAGCAAGCCATGTAATCAAACTTTGAAGTCATGGAGCGCAGGATTTTCTCAATAATGCTAACATCAGTCATCTTTTCACCATGAAAACGCATTTTGTTGGCAATGGTGAGAGTATGAGAAAAGAAATCAAAAACAGTCTCACCTTCCTTCATATGAAGGGCCTCAAAGTCCTTGCGCAGAGCCTGTAGTTGTGCTCATTTCACCATTGTATTTCCTTGGAATTTTTCTTCATTGAATCCTAAATTCCTTTCAAAGTTTCTTTATCCAAAATAGTCTCAAGAATTTAGCGATTGATGGCATGGAAAAGGTAGTTCTTAGCTCTAAAGTCTTTAAATTTCTGATCTACTACCTTCATCTATTCATATGAGTATTCAGCATCATCTGCTACAGTAGAAATCCTAGACTCAACTACTTGCCAATATTCTATGGAGCGAAGAAAGTTCTGAATTAACGTACTCCAATGATCGTAGTGACCAACAAATTTTGGTATTGCTGGTCGAACAAAGATGCCTTCAGTAGTCATCTATAGCTGCGGCTGAAAGAGTCAAGGCTCTGATACCAAATGATAAATTTAATGAAGATAAGAAAGAGACAAGACTCTGATACCAAATGATAAATTTAATGAAGATAAGTTTGCAGAAGGAAGGAAATTCGGTACTTTATCATGTGAAGAATGACTATATTTATAGTTAGTACAATGCTTAACCGAAGATAAAAATAAAATCCTAACAAAGAGCAGAATGTCATGCCAAAACAAAGAATTTAGGTTAAGATCATATCTATGATCTGATATGGACATAAGATCATATCAGTGATGTAATATTTAGTAACTAAAATACCTACAAGTACCGTGGGAGGGTACTATGATACCACTACACTAGATGTGCACATCGGAAGTACTGTCTTTTAGTTGGACCATAAAGTTAGCCAATTCTATGTCTTGGTTAATCTAGCCCATAAATCTAAGTCTCTTCACTACTGGCCCGATTAGGGATTCTTCTAGGTGCACTCTTTAGGGGTTCTCTTCTCCTAGGTGCACTTTCGACTAATTTCTTTTAATTGGACCATAAAGTTTGGCTTGGTCAATGTAGCACGCCTTAGTTGTGTTTAGTTTGACCATAAAGTTAACAATTCTATGTCTTGGATAATCTAGCCCATAAATCTAAGTCTCTTCACTATTGTCCCTTCTAGGTGCACTTATAGCCACTTATTTTTAATCACTTTAGTTGCTGGCCATGGGGTTCAAACCCATGCGCACTTGTGTGCAGAAGATCTTAAGTCTTCCCCCTTAGCCTCTCGGGCAAACCAACTAATTTTGTTTACCAAAATTAAATTTAGCTAAACTAAATTTAAATTAATTAAATAAATATTGAAAATAAGTATGAATACTAAATTTGCGTTTGAGAAATATATTTGAGAAATATATTAGAAAATGATAAGAGTTGGGGCATCATACGGTTAAATACATAGTAGTCTACCTTTGCATTATATGACCAAGGAATACAATCGTCATTTATAGCTTCTATCACAATAATAAAAATTCTTATTCTACCTCCATTGATCGTATAAGACAAACCATTCACCACAAGCAAGTCAATGAGACGTTCACCATTCTTGTTATACACTTTCATTGCAAACCTTCCGACTTTTTGCAATTCTTCTTCATTGACATTTTTAATTGGAACTAGATTTGAAGAAACAGTTCTTCACACCTCATTTAGGAACACCTTTGATTGATAATTTCAACAAACTTTGTTCATGAATAGTTGAAGTTCGATATTTATAGTTGTGGTTGAACGCTATTCATATTGATATAGCCGAATCTTACAACAAAGACTAATTTCACATTTAGTTAACAAATTAATCAAATGTATTACTAGTAGAACAAACATTTTGTAGGTATATTTTTAGTTTTAGTAATAAATTACACATTAAGAGTTCGATACAAGGTTACTAAAATTTGTGAGTAGAAGTTTAGATTGAGCTCGATTGAACAGGTAATTTTAAAGTATATTTAAAACTAAATATGATTTCCTTTTTATACATTCACAACAACAAAATGTGCATTTCCCTACTATTATAGGAGGCTTAACTTAGCCACTTATTTCTAATCTCTTTATTTCATCTTAAGTCATTAGACGATTGACCTACAAGTAAGCTTGAAAAATGCACACCCGGGGAATCGAACCCCCGTCAGTACCATTGGAGGGTACCCACTACACACTAGATGCGATAGCGCACATCGGAAGTAATGTATGTTTTAGTTGGACCATAAAGTAAGTTTGGCATGGTTAATCTAGCCCTATCACTTCACTACTATTAGAAGATTGACCTACAAGATCGAACCCCAGTAGTCAGTACTCATAAAGTAGTCAGTGGGAAGTAAGCTTGAAAAATGAACATCTGTGGAATAGAACCTCGGTCAGTACCGTGGGAGGGCACTATGATACCACTACACTACATTGCACTTCCAGGTGGGAAGTACTGTGTGTTTTACTTAGACCATAAAGTTAGCCAATTCTATGGCTTGGTCAATCTAGCCCTATAAGGCCCATAAGTCTAAGCCTCTTCACTACTATTTTCTCTTGATTGCATCTAAGAAATTAGACAATTGATCTACAAGAAAGCTTAAGAAAATGCACATTCACAGAATCGAACCATGATTAGTACCGTGGGAGAGTCCATGATGTTGGGATTTATGTCATAAAGCCTCGATTAATACCATGGGAGGGTACTATGATACCACTACACTAGATGTGGGCCATTGACTTTTCCTTAGCTCTTTATCAATACTTTTTATAAATTAAAAACTAAAAATATACTAAAATAAAATAAATAAAAAATCAATAAATAGTTAGATGTTGTTTCAAAGCAATTATATATGGTGGAAATTGAAAAAATATTAGACGGTCTCCACATACCAAAACACCCCTCCTCTGTGCAGAAAATCTTAAGTCTTCCCTATAACTTCTCAAACAAACCAGCTAATTTTCTTCATCAAAATTAAATTTAACTAAACTAAAGTTAAATTAATTAAATAAATATTGAAAATGAGTATGAATACTAAATTTGCTTTCCTAGATGGTTCATAGAATGATCATTTTTGTTTTATATACAAATTTTCTAAATCGTAACATGTTAAGATTATTTTAACTTTTGTTTTTTTTAAAATAATTTATTCTCTTAAAGTAAGTCGGTTGTATCACTTAAACCAATAAAAAAGTTACATGTTTGAATGCTGTTTTTTTTTTACTTAAAAATATATATAGAAAATGACATATAGAAGAGAGAGAAAGGTTGCAAGAGAATCGCGCAAGTAATCAGGCGAAGAATAAATGATCCGTCATATATAGGTCGTCCAAAACCCGCATTATAAAAAGTTCTAGACTTTTTATAACATGGATTGTTACGATGTATGAAAAACATTGTAGAATGACTACGATAGCATTTTTAGTAAGCTATTGTATCTAATATTTTTTGGAGTGTTAATTAGAATTTTTATACTCGTGCTATTGTTTCTAAACTTACATGACTTTTAGCAGTGAGACAGTATCAAAGAATCAAGAATATGAGTATCAGATTTGAAATAGGTTTGAGTCATGTATTGGCTCTTGTAATTTTTTTACTATATTTTATTGTTTTAAAAAATATTGTATCAATAGATCTCTACATAGATATCAAAAAAAATTATTCACATCAATCTCATTTTAATGTCAATATGGTATCTTTAGACTCTTTCCATGATGATCGCATTTATTTTGAGTTTCTTTTTTAGAAAATAATTTACTAAAAATAGAAATAAGTTCTTGTGTTCCATATTGAAGAAATAAAATAATGTTGTCATTTTGTTGAACCGAAAAACTTGTTTAACCATACAATTTAAACGTGTTTTTGTTGGGTTAGATTTTGAGGGGATAAAAATAAAAAACTAAAAATAACTAATTGTGCATATATAAATACATCTCCCATATCTCCAATCAAGTCATTCCAAAATTTATTTTTGTATTA